CGTCTTTTTAGAATGAAACTATTTCAGTCCCTTCATAGCCAGCCCTAATAATCCTGAGAGCATCAGATCACATAACCTCTTCATAGGTATATGGAAAAAAAGTACAATTCCAACAGTTTGGGTATGTAACTAACCCTGTGCTTTTTACAGCAAAGGTCTGTACTGTCCAAGGGCTATCAAAGTTTGGGATGCTTCCAAAGGCAAATTGTTTATTCAGAGGCAGATTTGATCAAGGCTCATGTTTTCCAAAAGGCAGCTAGCTTATTTTGGCCCTTTAAAAACTCCTTTCCCTAGAGCTCATCCTCTGGGCTGTTTGGGCTGCGTACTTTAAGAAGCAGAAAACTGCCAAGTCAAAAGCAAAGAATTTGTTTCTAAGAGAAGCAAGGAAAAGACAAAGAGCAAAAGTTAACACTGCAGATCATCGCAAGCTTCAGACAGTACAAAACAATTGTTTTAATGAGGGCTAAAAATACTTTCTTCTAAGAGCACTTGCTCTTCTGCCAAAGGCGCGCAATACACTGAGAAATATGTTTGCAGAATCAAAATATTTATAATACTACAAAGAAGTAGTCTCTACTTCAGAAACTTATAGGGGGTTATGTTGGAACTACATTTTTCAAAATACAGACAAAAGATTATCAACCACAAACAGAAGTGAATATTGGCTTGGTTGCCAACTTAAATGTTAAAACATGAAAAAAACCCAGCATATGTTTTCTCTAGATCACCTGATAGTTACCTTGGTGTAACTATCAATTTAGTTATAGGACAAAATACAATTTTACTATCTCACCTGCTCTTCATTATGTGACAGAAATGAGTTGTACTAGAATTCACTTTGAAAAAAAGGAACAGAATGGCCTTGCTAACAAATATGTCACCTGGCCTCACTGGAAGATTTACAAACGTTTGTTCTCTATACTTAAAAATCTCGGCTCAACTCAAAATTCAATACAACTCTTCATTTGTAGTCCAGGGGAACACAGAAAGTTAAACATTTATAAGGATCAAACTTCATATAAACTTTTACATAGAGTGTCAAGTTCAGCTTCTTTTCTTTGTTAATTTCAAGCATTGGAAAATCTTATTTTTTTTTTAAGGGGAAAAAAACAAAGGAAAGCAGTTTAAAGTCATGAATAGAGTGACAATTAACTTTTGAAAATCCAAGTTTTCTGACCATATTTAGCTAATGCCCAAACAGTGTCTACAGCAACATCAACAGCGCAGCTGTGAGGCTGCCAATACTGGCTCCAACTGTGAAAAGCACTTTTCTTCAAGTCTTTTCTTCATTTTTCCCCTTCCAAAGACACAAAGCAGCAAAAAAAACATCAACTGCTTCATATAATTGTTAGGCAATGCAATCCACAATTTGATTTTTTAGTGCAGTTGCTATTTGCATATTAACCTAGCAAGAATTTAATATAACGATATTTGCAACATTGGAGCAAGAACTTGTTCAGCAATCATAAATTGCCAGTTCCTGCATTTAATTTATTTTTTAATTGCTCTCTTCTGCTGTAAACCAAGAAAGAAAACCAATGATACAAGAGGGTGATGGCTACACTTCTGTTTAAAAAAAATCCTGCCTTTAAATAAGGCGCAAAACTTCAGGCTTTCAGGAAATTTGCTTAATACTGTCAAGAAGCCAGTTTGCATAGTTTGTTAAATTACAGTAGGTGATTCTTTTTCAGTAAGAGAATGGTAAAGCAGCAAAAGTGGGAAAAGAGCATTCAAAGTGCTGAAAAGCTATCTATGTTACTTGATTCCTTAGTTGCAACTTCAGTTCTTCCCCACAGAATATCTCCCTTCTCTCCATGCTGATGAAAAGCTGGAACAGAGCAAGACAAAACTCTTGGTGCTACAAGCTGGTTCTACGAACTGGTGGGCTTGGCTCCTGCTGCAGTCACCAACAGTGGGTCTGCTGGAGATGTCTTTCCCTTCCCTAAAAGGAAGTGAGCTATAATGATTATTAAGTACTAATTGTAAGAGTCATATGACTTCATCTGTTTTTGGTCCACCTACAACAGCAACTGCCTCCACCCTTCTCTTCCCATAGGCATCCACAAAAAATGGCATCCTCCTCTCCGATATCATAGAATGGTTTAGGTTGGAAGAGACCTTGAAGATCATCGAATTCCAACCCCACTGCCATAGGCAGGGACACCTCCCACTAGACCAGGTTGCCCAAGGCCACATCCAGCCTGGCCTTGAACACCCCCAGGGATGGGGCCTCAATAACTTCTCTGGGCAACCTGTGCCAGTGCCTCACCACCCTCAAAGTGAAAAACTTCTTCCTAATGTTTAGTCTAAACCTGCCCTCTTCCAGTTTAAAGCCATTCCCCCTCGTCCTGTCACTACAGGCCCTAGTAAAAAGTCCTTCCCCAGCTCTCCTGTAGGCCCCCTTTAGGTACCAGAAGACCACAATAAGATTTCCCCAGAGCCTTCTCTTCTCCAGGCTGAACAGGCCCAGCTCTCTCAGCCTCTCCTTATAGGAGAGGTGCTCCAGCCCTCAGATCATCCTCATGGCTCTCCTCTGGATGTGCTCCAGCAGGTCCATGTCCTTCTTATGTTGGGGTCTCCAGAGCTGCAGTACTCCAGGTGGAGTCTCACGAGAGCGGAGTAGAGGGGCAGACTCACCTCCCTTGACCTGCTGGCCACACTACTTCTGATGCAGCCCAGGATACAGTTGGCCTTCTGGGCTGCGATTGCACATTGCTGGCTCATGCTGAGCTTCTCATCCATCAGCACGCCCAGGTCCTTCTCCTCAGGGTTTCTCTCCAGCCATACCCCACCGAGCCTGTATTTGTGCTTGGGATTGCCCCGACCCAGATGTAGAACCTTGCACTGGGCCTTGTTGAACTTCATGAGGTTGGCTTGGGCCCACCTCTCCATCCTGTCCAGGTCCTTCTGGATGGCATTCCTCCCCTCCAGCGTGTCTACCTCGCCAAACAGCTTGGTATCATCAGCAAACTTGCTGAGGGTGCACTCAACCCCACTGTCCATGTCACCGACAAAGATGTTGAACAGTACAGGTCCCAGTATATCCTCCATACCTATTCAACTTCTTACCTCTACATTAATTTATTTAAAAAAAAAAAAAGTGGAGGGAAGAGCTAACAGTTAATTTCTGACTGTAAATTATGTCCCAACCTTCAGCCTGTCCTGTGTATTTAAAGTTTAAGCAAGTTAGGGTGGGATATTTGTGTTACTCTCTGCAACACTTAACTGCCCTCAGTTGACCTTGTAGCGTGCTGTAACAAACACATGACAAACATTATCTGACTTCTCAGGTTTTGTCACAGTACAGGAAGAATCGACAGATGATACAGTGCCCATGAAACTGCATGTAGTTAAGTGTTGGCATTGTCACACATAGAAACACAACAGGAACAATTCATGTTCATCTCAGGACTGTCCAGAAATTGGTTTCAAGATCAAGTACACTGAAGTTTCAGCTGCCCTTAAACAGCTATTTAAGCTCACCTTATAGGTCTTCAAAAAGTCTTAACTTGGTTCTTTAATAGTAACTTTAAAATGCCTAAGATGTACCTCCATGTCACCAAGCCTGGAAGACAGAAACTCAGAAGTGTCTTGGTAAGTTTGGAGCTTTGAAGATACATAAAAGACATTAATACAGCACAAAGTGAGCTCTAAAACAAGCATTGTCATACTTTAAATGCAGAACATGTTCAATGTGAATGGATATGTTTTTAGGCACTATATATAAATCTAGTAAAGTGAGCCAATAGCATCAGCATAATCACTACAGCAAAATGTTTTGTCACCTAAGAACAGACAAATGAACAGCAAGTTTCCACATACATGCTGTTTACTTGCAAGAGTTCCAATGAGCTGGTTATGTCTTCTTGTAATAGATAAATCAATACCAAAATAATCATTGCCTCCTACCTTGGTTAAAGACAGCCTAGACCATGTCACACTAGTTCTCCCCAGAACTCCTCACAATAGAAGAGCTGCAACCAGAAGTACCAATATTCAAAAAATTACCATACAGGTACCCCAGGAAAATTAGTTCTTAATAAAGGTACATTTGTTAACGTTTGAATGTCATTTTCCCCTTGTCAGAACTTTCCACTAACATTAATTCCAACAGTTCAGAAAACACTGACAACAGCTACCTGCTATGTCAGACAGCTGTGTTTGAAAGTTGCAACTAGCACAAGAAGTTGGGAGTCGCGCTTTAGCTTTTTAAGAAAAAAAAACAACCAAAACACCAGAAAACTGAAGTGAATGAGCTTGACGCATAGAAATGAACTTTTATCAAAATATGTTCCATTACCAACTGCTTTATCAGCCTGTATCTCAGTGGTATTCTAACCTGCAAGTGGTGCTTCATTATACTAATTACATTAATCTTCTCCTGTCTTCCCTGCTTGCTCTCAATCAACTGATCATACTGTTCTTCCGAGAGTACTGCAAAAGGTGTTTGGAAAGATCCAAGACACTAGAGTTTACTTAACCTTTATGTCAGGCACCAGAGTCTCATTCACAGGCATTCATGGCCCCTTACTATAATTAAAAAAAACCCCACATAATCTCCTCTCAACCCCTGGGAATTCAAGCGTATCTCCCAGAACCCTAAAGGTAAGCCTTATCTACTCTTATAAAATCAAGACACTGAGCAGCAAAGATGGAATTAGAGTAGCAAAGACCATAACTAGCTACTGGTTAATGCGTGGAACCAGGAAGCAGACACAGAGGTGATGCATGTGTTCCTGTAATTATGTTCCGCTGTTCTTCCGTGCCTTATTTTCCCATAAACAAAACAGGCAGATATTGCTTCTATCCCATTTCTTCTATCGCTTCTTCAAAAGCCCCTGCCTTTAAAGCCATCGGTACACGTATGCACACAAACATCATCCCACCTAGCAGAGCAGACTGTGTAGTAAAGAAATATACGTGTGCATATTGAAATCAGGATTTTATTGGAAGCACATCAGAACTGTCTGAAACCTTATTCAGGAAAGGCACTTCAAACTTTAATGCCTTTTCTTTTTAGCTTTGGGTTCTTGGGACAGCTGAGATAATTCAGTTTCTTTGATGTCATCACAATGCTTTCTTTTCTTTTTCTTTGACTTTTTATGGTCACTTTGGTAACCACTGGAGTCACTGGCAGGCAATACATGTTCTTGTTCTTGCTTATGCTTTTTCTTTTTCTTCTTCTTCTTTTTATCATCACATAATCCATTCACGGCATCAACACTTTGCTCTTCTGCATTTTCCCTCCCAGTGTTATCCGTCTCACCTAGAGGATGCTCTGTGACATTGTCTCCCCCAGAGTCATTCAAACCATTTTCCTGGTGGTCAAACTTTTGAATTTCATCTCCATTTGTACTGTCAGTGACAGTCTCAGATTGTTTGGGCCGCATGCTGTAAAGAAATACACAAAATAAGCTGAAGTAGAGACATCTAAGTGCACCTCACACAGTGAAATGTCAGAATTTGCGAAAACACAGTATTTACCCCAATCTGACAAGCATTTGCTAAAAACAACAACAAATGGAGAACAAGATACTCTAGTTACAGACAATCATAAAGCCAGCTTAATACTTGCAGGGTAATTTCTATTACCTGACTAGCTTCCTTCTTACCAAACAATCAATATTCTCTTTCAAATCTTAGCCTAAATTTCTTCTCTAAAATGCTGTACAGACCATTTTGATGTTTCCTCTTTTCTTGCACTCCTTCATCCACTAATTCATAATTACACACTGAGTAGTGAAGCTTTTTTTTTTTTTAAAGTTATTCACAAATATGCACAGCCAACAGCCTTTTCAGTCCTAAGACATACTGCTGGTTTTACCAAGCAATTGCCTCGCTGAAGTCTATAGTTAAAACGAAAGTGATGCCAGAAAAGTCAAAAAGAGAAGTAAAAAAAAAAAATCAAAACACCCAGCAGGTACCTTGCAACCAAGAGCACCGGAGAAAATGTGTAGGAAGACAAATATGGAAAGAATCCAGTTAAAAATCATGGAGGAGGAGATGTCCCCAGAGGCACTGAGGACAAAATCATTACGTTTCATTGTATTCTCACTGAAACAATCCGGAACATCCTTCCAGGTTAAAAAAGAAAAACCAAAGAAAAAATGTTATGATTTTTTTCAGTAGTAGTACAATGTGTGTGTGTGTAAACAGCACTGTAAACATTGTGTTCAGGATCTGGAGTGTTTTCTCTTGAAAAGCCTATGCACATTCATAAACACAGCTACTCTAGACATTTGGGGTTGCTGTTTTGAACATGTATTATTTATGCAATCAAGAGTTCATAGGTCAGCGCACTCAGATTTTTGAAGCTCAAAAAAAAAAAAATCTATGTTTATTTTTCCAGAGAAAACTTCCATGAAAGTCCTTAACACCAGAAAGTTTAGTTTAAGTTAACTAACACAGGCTATATATAGACATGGGTTTCTGTAAAAATAAGAAAGCTTAAAGATTAAGATGTTAATTCAAATACTTTAGCTTGTAACAAACCCATTAAAACAGTTAAAGATACTCTCTAGTAGGGCACAATACCTGCTTTTAGTGAGTCCTCCTCGAATGAAGAACACCCCAGCTGCATCAGAATCCAAGTGCAATACTTGAAATTTCAGTTCATCCCCTATTTTTAATCCCAGCTCTTGCCACTGCATAATCGACATTTGTTCGGGTTTAGGGATAGAAGCATTGAAGCATCCATGTATAAGGCAGCCAATATGACTAGGGGCCACTTTATTAATTATACCCTAAAAAACAAAAAGAATGTCATATGAAGCTATAGTAAAGATCACCCCTTTAAATGCACACATGATATATATTTAGTTTTCTCTACGGACACTTTTCAACAAGACTTTATTTGCACAAGTTACAAAGTCAGTTTATCTAGCAAATTAAGCTAACTCTTCTTCACTAAAATCAAAGCTATTCCTATATACTCTTCATACAATTCCTCCCAAAGTAGAAATGAACCTGTATCTGGCAAGAGAAAGAAAGTCAAAACATGGGATTTAGCCACAGTGAGTACCTGAATAGAACAGGTAACTCCTCACACTACAGACATCAACTTTGCTTTAAAGCCATTTTAAGTCTGACTTACTCGCCTAAAATGGCCTTCATGCTGGAACAGCACTATTTAGCAGCTAAAGATACAGATGACACTTAAAAGGCTTTTAAGTACTCCATTCAGTGGGTTTCTGACACACTTGCACATCAAACGTTATTCACCTTTGTTTTCCCCGAGAATGAATGGAAGACACTAAGGGCGTTTCCATTCTCTTCATAGCATGAGGACACATTAATTTCTTAATCACATTTAGAAAGATACAAACTGTGCTGTCAAAGGTATGGCACAATAACGAATGGAAGCCAACTCTCAATTTATTTTTCCCACAAGTACTGAAGCAAGGGTGTTAACAAGCTTAAAGCTGTTCTGTGAGCCACACATTTCCTTTTACTGAAAGGCAGGCTTCAACTTGATGTACTGCTCTTGTACTTGAAGGAAACAGACTTAGGAGAACATCCTTAACCCCTGTCACTATGAAATAAGAACAAACACACCTGTTTGAGAATTATCAGCTCTCCAGAAAGAAGCATTGATATAAATGATCTACAAAATTATGATACAGTATTTAATAATATGTAATCCTTACGAGGCAATATTTAATAATATATAGTTATTATATATAACAACAAATATAGGAACAGACAGTATAGACAGATGAAAATAAAAACTACTACTACCAATTGCTAATAAACTATTGTAAACCACTCGTACGTGAATAAACTACTAATAGGAACTAAAATATAATCCAATCTAAGTCCCAGATCCCTGTCGACGATAGAGATATGCCAAGCCGTGACTACTCAATTAACAAAAGGCCCCGTGAGACATCAACGCGTCTACATACCACCAGCTTTTTCCCTTTCTTGGGGCTGAAGATGATGAAGTCCGCCTCGATGTTCAGGTGGATGAATCCTTGGTCGTCGTAAATGTCCCCGAGCTCACCCACCACTTTGATGTTGTCATAAGCCACCGGCACACCCTGGAGGCTGGAAGGAGAAGGGGACACGCACACCGTTAGCTCTTAGGCCGGAGACAGCCACCACCGGGGGCCTGGAGGGGGGGTC